GATCATATGGATCTGTTTCAATATAGTTTTTAATCGACAACCATCAGCCAATAAAATGGATGGAACCACAGGAGGTGGAACAGGTGCAGGTGGTAAACGAGCAGGACAACCAAGTACAAGTTCAACAGCAGCAGCTGGAAAAGGAAAAGGTGCTGCTGCTAGTGGTGGTGCAGGTAAAACTGGTACGACTACATCAGGTCGGCCAGGTACAGGTAAAGGAAGTGCAGAAAAAACAATCGATACAAGCAAACCTTATTGGATATTACGTCTAGTATCCGATGGAGATAAAGCGGTATGAAAATCGAAATAAATTCTATAGAAATAAATTTATATGTTGAATTATTTTTCAAATAGGATGAATTAACAATTAAAAAAGATACTGAACGAAATGAAGAATTAATTAATATGAAGAAAGCATGGGAAACATTTGAAGCTGGTCGAGCTCAAAAGGCCATGAAAACAAGACAAAAATTTCTCGATTCTTTACAACCAAAAGTCGAAGAACGTCCATCATCAGGTACACTAGATGGTACAATAAAACGACCTGAAAGTCGTGCTGGTGAAGAACCATCTAGTACAACTACGACGATTTCTACAACTGCTACAGCAACTGAACAACAACAGGTTGCTAAACAAACGTCACCTGCAACAGGACCAACAACAAAGAAAAGTGCTTCATCAGCAGGAAATAAAAAAGTTGCAGCTAAAGAAGATGCATCTAAACAAGTTGAATCAATATCAGCACAGCAAGAACTTACACTACCGCAACCAGTAGTTGATGAACCTCTTCTCAATCAACCACCACCAGCTAAACCTAAAATTATTTTACCACCACTTGATGTTAAACCTTTTATCAAGTAATTCAAGTTTTTAAACATAAGAAAAAAAAGGAAATCTATTCTTTTATTTTCTTTTTTGTTTAGACATAAAATGCTTTCTGATGAACCAATTGTATTAGATCCTTTATTTGAACAAGAAGATATACGTCGTCGTCATGCTGAATTTCTTGAATATGCTAAATATGCAGATGAAATTCGTCAATATCGTGAAGAAGATCATCATAATCGATATAAAGAAAAAATTCGTCAATTAGAAGAATATGTTGATTTACAAGCAAAAATTGATCAATCTCGTCGTACAATTAATGAACCTCGTGAAGCATTTCGGCAACGTTTTCTTGAAGTTGAGCGTAAACGACTTGCAGAATTAGCTGCTCAAGAACAAGAATTAATTGCAGCAGCTGAAAAAGCAAAAGCAGCTGCAGCTCCAGCCAAAGGTAAAGGTTCGGCTGGGAAGAAAGGCAAGAAATAATATAATGACTATTGTGAAAACGATGTTTTTTTTTGTATGATTATTTTTCATAAAGTTTTGCTTTTTCAATAAAGACATTGAATAGAAATAAATTCAATCATAGCAAAAATATTAATCTAAAATATTGCTGAATAAAATACGAATTGATTACTCATGATGAAATATTATAAAAGAATTCGTGCGTATATCCTATCCATCTGGAATGATGATCATTTAAGAGAATTTTCGTTTGTTGGTTACGACTTTTATAAAAGATCATATAACGAGTTGTTGAATTGAAATCTTGCTAACGAACAGGTCTCGAAACTATGCATTAGAATGTTCGAAAAAATTCAGCTCACTCATATGTCTTTTTTTTTCTCAAGATATTAAATGTTCAAACAATGATCAAATCACATAGAAAGACACTCATAATGGACATTTGTTGAGCATTCGATTTTCTGATGTGCGTATATCATTATAAACTATACTATCTTCTATTTATTAAATTTAACAGATCAAAAGATTTTAATTTGTGGTTATAAATAAACTTAATCGTCGAAAAGTGCTGAATCTCTCAGAAAGTATTTCAATTGTAGTATACATCTGCGTAATTTGATAACACATTCGCAACCAATACCATCTATTTACAAGAATTAAATGTAATTGATTCTAATTTCTAAACTGCTATTCTTTTCTTCCGCATCTGTGCTACTGATTTGAATCAACTATGAGTTTCACGTAACGTTATGAAGTCTAATTACTTGGTTTCAATTACACTTTTACACTTGAAACTTCAAGGCTTTGTTATTTTTGTTGTGGATTTCTCCACTATGTTCTATATCAATCAATGTTTGTTTGATTCCTTTGTTGTTTTAACATACTCAACTGTTGCTCAACGATTGTCCAAATAGGATAATGAGAGATGTCCTTCAGTAAAAGATTGAGACACAGTGATTCGATTTGGCCTTTTTTTTCTAAGAAAACAGATGATCTGTGTTTTATTCACATCTCTAATTCCATGGAGGCGATATCAGAAACGATGAAAACTAGTCCGATTTCGTCAGCTTAATCCGTCATTCCAGAAAACAGAAGAAATAGTAGAGAAAACGATGACCGTTTTCTTGCAACAAAACAACTGGTGAAACGAGATGACAGCATAGGACGAAATGCCGTAAAGTTTAATGCAATGATATACTATTTTTTCATAGTCATTTTTGACCGTTTCCAACAGTCAGAATGATCTTCCTGGACTTATTAAACTGCAGTTGAAAATATGTCAACTCGTTCTGTTTTTGATGGCTTCTTTTTGTTTGTTGTTTTTCTGATATGCTTATAATGCAGAGAATACATCGAATAAAGGTATATCCATTCGATTTTTAGGTGTCTCGAACATACAGAATGACATAATCAAAATATGAATCAAAGAATCACGTTTATCGCTTTTCTTGCAGGCAAATTTTACGTTCGAAATGCAAATTATTTTTCTCATGCAACAACACATGTAAGTGTGAACTATACTTTTCAATGTCAATGGCACGCAATTCAGATGAATCTTGGCATGAGTGATAGTTTAACTGCAAATTTCAGTTGACAGCAAGCCGAAAACGACAGTTAATCGTTGATCGAAATCTTGTGGTGACACGCACAAATGTTAAAATGAAATATATTTCACATACGTGTGCAAAACACGAGTTTTCTTTATCGATTTCGTATCCATTCAATTGTGAGAACCATTGTATAAAAAAATCTATTTTCGTTTGTTCGAATACTCAATAAGTATGTGAGCGAAACAAAGCTGAATCATAAACCTACGAAAGTATATATTCAAGACTTGTCGTTATATCGACAAAGAAAATATTAGACAACATTTCACAAATAAGATTTTGAAAAAGTTAGCTTTTTTTGGAGTCTGAATCGGTAGTATGAATTATTTTGAGATCGTTCATCGTCTAATTAAAGAGTAATGGAAAACTCATTATGTTTGCGAATGATTTGATTGTATCTGATACTCGTTGAACAGAGCTAGTAACGCCTTCTTTTGCTGTTTATCAAATCGTTATTTTTATAAATTTCTGAGCGATTAATTTAACTGATCATTAAATAGTAACGAAAAATATATACAGAGTGAACCAAAAGTAATCTAACAGAAACTTCTTGTCAACTTTTTTTTCTTTATACATTCATAGTTCGATCTCAAATTTGGACTATGTACACTAGATGACAATATTCAGACAAAGAGTCTATTATTAGCTTTTGGCTAAAGGAATCTATTGAGAAACATACAAATGTCTATGACTATCGCATAAGTTTGTAGTTTTCTTGTAGCGTTGCGTTTCTAGCTTTCGAGTTTTTTGCATCAAAATGTATAGGATGATTTGAATTACATTGATCTTTGCATTGTTTCAAACTTGTTGCATAATAAACTACTCAAAAATGCGACATAATGAAAAAAGACATTGACTTCGATTAGACAACAACGAATTTATATGACAATTATATAAGAGTGTACGAAAGATATTCGTATGTTTTCCGACAAAGTCTTACAATCAAAGAGTGATAATAGACTCGTTCTCTGAGTATTGTCATCTAGTGTATGGAAGTCAAATATGAGATCGTACTATGAATTTATAAAAAAAAAAAAAAGTTGCAAAGAAGTCTGTGTTACGTTACTTTTGATCCACCCTGTATAGATATCATCTTCTATGAGAATGTTTTCGATTCCAAATGTTCAATCAAATGGAATTCTAATCGTTCAATCCTTATTCACGAGTGATATTGGATCTACCAGTATATTAACTTCGAGTTTTGATATGATCATAATATTACTTTATTGTCTTTCATTTTATTCCTTTTCTCTTTTCAATAGTAAGCAAATGTGCATACGTTCTTTTGTTCTATTCATATCAACGGTTGTTCTGTCTATTCTATAAGATGTTTGAACATTGTAATCATATCTTTCTACCTATCCATGGCCGTTTCCTATTGTTCTATATTCATATTCAATATCTTTCTCTGCCATATGTACTAACTCTTGTATTACTTTTCTATTTTTTTTTATTATGTGATTATGTTTTTTGCTTATTTTCATCATTAATTTTATTTCCCTCTGAAATTTTAATAACATCGGCTCCAGTGTTCTTAATAATAATAATAATAATATAGATGTTGAATCTATTTCGGTTCAATGAAGCAAATAATAATCTATACAATAATTATAAAAGTTTGAAAATAAGACACATACTGTTTTTTTTT